CAAATCATTTTTTTCTTAATATATGATTTTACCACACCCATGGGATTTGAAGCAGTGATTTTAATGTTCAGATTGAAGTTATTCTCATGTATATGGTGTTGTAACTCACGTTGATGCATACAGACAGACACACCAGCACATATATAAGTTAAATCCATATTTTTCTTTCGATCTTTACATTAATTAAGTACAGTTCACTACAATTACATCCTGACAAGGTATTATTTTTGGTTCCTTTTTTACAATGATGACGTCAGGAATTAAAAGTGCTTAGACACATATTTGAACTTAATATTTTCTCAAATTGTCTGTATAATATCACGACTTATATATTGCAATAGCATTTCACACGAAAATATAATTATAAACTTATTTTATCTAGAAATTATTGGAAGTACGAATTCCTGGACGCGTTTGATTAACAAATCTTTGCACTTACACAAATTTTAACTTTATCCTTAATATTTCAGAAAAGAAGCGATTTTGTTATGTATTAATGAAAAATATTTCATCTATAATCCAGAAAATTCAGAGTAGAAATGTTCGAAAGCAAAACCAATTCACCAGTATTGTCAGTCCGTGCACTGTGATGTGTACAGAGTTTAACAAATTGAACACACCCGTGAAACATAAACTGTTTTTGTAAACAGGGCACGAGCTCTGTTATTGTTAATGTTTACGATTCACCGGGTGTGTTCAATTAATATTGTTAAACTCTGCACACACCACTGAGCACGGACTTACAATACTGTGAGTGGGTTTTGCTTTCGAACATTTCTACTCTGAATTTCCTGGGTTATAGTTTTAATATTTTTCATTAATACACAACAAAATTGCCGCTTTTCTTAAGTATTAAGAATAAAATTAAAATATGTGAAAGCGCAAGGATGTGTCAATCCAACGCGTCCAGAAATTCGAAGTTTTAATAACTTCGAAATGAAATAAGATTTTTATTATATTTGAGTATGAAATGCTATAGCAACATATAAGTCATGAAATTATATAGAAAATTTGAGAAAATATTAACTTCAAATTTGTGTCCAAGCACCTTTAAAAGGTATCAAACAGTTGTCATACTGGCAGGAATACGACGGATTATAATCACGTAATTTTACTCTTTTATATAAGCTCCTAAAACCATTTTGAATAGAAATATTTCAGCATATGAATAATCAAGTTGAAAAGCATAGTGCTCCATATTGTCATAGAAGTGTAAACAAACAGAAGTGTACATGAATATCTAATCCAGCATTTCTTTTCCACATTCACTTATAAAATTATCATATAAAGGTTATATAGAACATATTAAAATACATAAGGAAGAGATTAATTTTTTTTTTCTTTTTTATTTTTTTTTCCCTCATCTATGCACAAAATGTTTCTGAATTATTTTTTACGGTCTTTACCTCATACATTGAAAAAAAAAATATAACAATTTTGTATTAAATATTCTGAAAATATTAGCTAATAAAAATTTGTTGTTCATTATCCCCATATATTTCACGTAAATTTTTGTATGAAATAGTTTTTTGGGTAAATTTCACATGTAATTAAATTCTATTAAGTAATATCCTAAGACTTACTTGCAACAACATCATGTCTGCTTTCCTCTGTAAAAATTCAATTATTTGGTTTTCAACTGTTGTTTTATATCCAAATTCTTTCATGGTTCATTGAAAACCTTCCTTACCCAAGCAAATGTAATTATATAAAGTGAAATATGAAGATAACGAACAATACTCAGGCTCAAAAGTCCATTGAAACGATACAGATTGGGAGCAAAGCAAACGCGGACCTCCAAAAAACATCACATGTAGGATCATGTGCCATAGAGGAGTAAGCATCTTCTGTCGACCGTTCACACCCGCCGTGTGCTCCTTGTTATAAATGGGCAAACGACAAATCGTCTAGACAATTCCGTGTGAAAAATGGACTAACAATTTGTATGAAAAGCCTCAGTCAACATTCGATATAATATAAGATTGTATTTACTGTCAAGGTCATTATATCAACCATAAATTTTGCTATCATTTAGAAAGAAAAATTTTCTTTAAATGAAAGAATGAAAAGGATACCATGAATTTGACCAAAACGATATTGAAAACGAGTAGTGAAAATAATGAAAAGATATTAATTGTGATACAGTACACTCATTTGGGGAAAATTATCCCCATATCTATATCTTTACAAAATTGTATAGAATTACTTTTAAGTCTAAAGAATCGAATTCTCATTCACATTTTATGTGTGTGTAAATGTTTTACGCACATTTAATACAAAGGGAGATTAGTCAATAACTTGAAAAAATAAATTAATTATGGCTTCTCTCTTGGCTAAGGCTGTAAGCATTTAAAAAATAAATAACAAGTTAAAAAAATAACAGGAAAATGAAGTCAGTTAGTCACGTAGTCAAATGCTGTAAAGCGTCGAGGGTTACTCAGAAGATTTAATCATGTACCAGTTTACCCCCTTCCTTTCCAGGTGAAGTTTTTAAACATGTGAAATTAAACCCGATCATGACAAAGAGCACACGGCGGATTTGACCTGTCGACAGGGTATGCTCACTCCTCCATGGCACCTGCTCCTGCCTCCGATGTTTTTGGAGGTCCGTGTTTGCTCTACTCCCGAATGGCATTGTTTAAATGGACTATGAGCTTGAATATTTTTTGTTTTCTCCATATTTCATTATATATATAAAATATACTTCAGACAGAAATCTGTATATAAATATTGAACTAACTGCCCATCGTAGATTTTGACGAAACGGCGCAAAGTGTGGATCTTCTTGGAAAGCGGTTACTCTTTGAATTCGAATGCAGTAGGGTTCTGATGTGAAGCGATCATTTTGTGAAATATAGATTTATGAACAATAATAATGAACAGATTGCTACCTGATTGTTTTTGTATTCTTGAGAGCCGGTTTTGATAGATTTAAAATGCACAGGACATAAGGTGATGGATTATATAAAGGTGGAGGAATTTCAGTCCGAGAAACCAGGCCACTTCTATTGTAAAAGATTAGAAATCAAAAGTAATTCAATCAAAATTGATCTCAAAATTGTTTATATCTATGATTTCACTCAATTATCTTATGATGACGTTGACACTGAGACACCATGGCGACTGTTTACCTTGACAAACCATGCCTCAAGAAGGTCGTCGACAGGCTAGTTAGGCCATGAGTAAAACCGAAATGTTTGTAATATTTTCCAGCAGACTTTCAAAATAAGAAAAAGTAGACGAAAAAAAAAAACAGAATATCATTCACAGTTTATGATAGAAGATTAAAAAGTAATAGAAAAAAAATAGAGGGAAAAACATTGCAACTATGACGACTGTTTTACGTAAGCTGAAATAAAACATCATTGTCACAATACGCCGTTGTATTTACGTATGATAGCCATTATAAAGACATATGACCCATTGGAAAACTTTATTTGTTCTCTGCATATTTATATAACAGAAAGATGCAACAAATGCATTTATATAAGAGAAATGAATTTGGCTTACTATTCTCTTTATAAAAATTGAATGCATATATACTTTCTTTTTTAAATAAGGTATGACCCTGTATATACATATCCTAGCTTTTATATTGGTCAATTTGTGTCTTTTGTCTTTTTTAACTTCTATATAATTCCTGAGTAAATTTACTAAGCTGTTTTTGTCTCATGGGAATTTCAAACAAAAATCATTTTCAGCAGAAATTCAGTAAACTTCACACAACGCACTGATACATGTAATAAGGCAAAGGCATAGCTAATTTTCTTGCACAAGCGAATGTAAGACAATTCAAGAATCTTCGAAATGAAATATGGAGATAGCGAACATTATCCGAGCTCAAAAGTCCATTCAAACAATACAAATCAGGAGCAGAACAAACACGGACCTCTAAAACATTAGAGGTGGGATCAGGTGCCATGGAGGAGTGAGCATTCCTTCCGACCGGTCACACCCGCCATGTGCTCCTTGTCATGATCGGTAAATAACGGAGAAATTCGTCGATAATTCAGTGTGTAAATAATGGCCTTATAATTAGTATGAAAAAAGTCGGTCAGCATATGACTTAGTGATAGATCGTATTTGCTGAAAATCAGAATTACGTACAACAAGTTGATTAATTATTTAAGGAGTAGTATATTGCGAGGTGTTGCAAGTGGTTAGTTTACGTGTAACTCCTGGAGGCTGTCTTAAATAAATTATTAGTAAACTCCTCTTGAGACGATCAATTTGATGAAAGATAAGCCATTATGTTAACTCTTGTCATGATGTCAATGGGGGATCATAACATCTCTATCAATGGCTCTGTCTAATAGTTCAATATGTTTTATTGGGGGGGGGGGGGGGTTAATCACCAAATTCCTTTTTGGTTTGAAAATGAACTTATCATTTGATATCATACATTTATATTTTTCTAATCTTATATAAATAGTTTTATTACTTATTACTTATCATTATAAGTTATTAGGTTAAACGTCTGCTTTTTGCTTTAAGAATTCGATACAGTATTGATTATTTTTGGCAACATCCTTTTTTACAAGTTTCTCCACTAGGAATTACATGCAAGCCAAGAGAGTTGACTTAAGACAAAGAAATTAGACAGCAGAAGTGGTCTGGGATACATTTTTCTATGGACTCTCTCTCTCTACAAGCCTAAGATTTCCTAGGTTTTGGGACATTTAAGAAGTAGCCATTTTCGTCAATAATGTGATAGAGAGTTATTTAATGTATAACGAGCAGGTTAATCTATTTATCATTCTTGAGGTTATATGGTTAAAAGAGTGTCAGAGGCTAATTTGACGATAAAGCATACAGCAGAAATTTAATTATAAGATCAAAATATTTTTGTAATCCTATACTTGCACATCAGTGCAATAACAAGAAGCAATTGCCTTTCTGTAGAAAAAAATGTTTCTGAAAGAATAATTGATGTAAAGTCAATATACACATCATTTTGCAAAAGGGCTAGAAAATGAAAAGAATGAACTGCATGAAACACATTTATGCTTTCTTATTTAGCGTTTTGTATTTTGTATATTTATTTCAGCATTTATCACATCACAAAATATACTGCAGCGACTATACACGAAATTGATATGTTACAGTGTAGCAAAGTAAAAGTCATAACAATAACATTGATCATAAAGAATGAAAATTTCTTGTATTTTCACTTTTGACCACTTTACTATTGTTAGTAATTGTAGAATAAATGTCGCATATTCAGCCACAGAAGTTGTATCACTATTTGTTAATTCGAACACGATCAAGCCATTTTGCTTTGAATTTTTCTGAAGACAAATTTTACAATAACATTGGCGACTTTGACTTTTTCTTTATATACAAAAAATATCTGCCTTTTGATTATTTATCTTCAACATTTAAGGTTCATAGATCTATGAATTTAAGTTTATAGAAAACCAGATCCTAATCGGTCTAGCCTCCTTTTGTTCATTTCTTGGCGCTTAATAAAATCAGAACTAAGTCTATCGAATCCCCTTCGCTTGATAAACCCAGAGCTTAGTCTGTCTAAGTTTCTTTTTATCAGTCCAGAATTCAGTCTGTCGAAATGACGCTTTATAAATCCAGATCCCAATCTGTCGAAACGTCGCTTGATGAATCCAGATCCAAGACGGTCAAAATTACTACGCCTGATAAAACCAGAGTTAAGTCTGTCAAGATATTGTTTCTCTGGGTCGTCACGCTTGATGAATCCTGAACTGAGTCTGTCAAAGTAGCGTTTGTCTACCGCTTCATCGCCTAAATCATCTGCATCATATATATCGTCATACATTCCAGATGCCCCATCATCCCGTTTTATCAAACCCATGGAAAGCCGGTCCAATCGACGTTTCTTTAGTAGTCCCATTCCTAATCGATCAAAAGTTCTCTTTTCAGCTTTCTCCGGGAGATTTTGATCGCCTTCTTCAGAAGCCATTTGAGCTATGTAGTATTTGAGCTTTGGAACTAGTTCTTCTATCTTAGAGTCCGAATCTCTTTTGATAAATCCACTTCCGATTCTGTCTAACATCCTTTTGTTTCTGGATATCTTTTCTTCTTCAACTATGCCTGTTGTTCTGAAAATAATTTAAGGCAAATATGGAGTTAATTAATAAGAGTGTCACACGAAATGACATTAGCAAATTGTTATAAATACAGTTATACATTTACATTAGGTTTTGACTAAATGTAAGCTCAAACATATTTAGATACATTAGTGCATTTGATCTTTTTCCTCTACTTTTACTATTGATCATGTCTGAATTTCTGAATTATTTATCATATACATGTATTTCCAACCTTTGTCTTTTCTTCTCAGTTTAAGATGATAAAGGATAAACCAAAATTATATATTCATATAATATACCATTTTTCTTGTAGGAAATGTTCTCATAAACTTATTTTTCATAAAATAAATTCCTTAAATCATCTTCTTGAGGAAACGAATCTCATTTAATATTATTAATTCATGCGACAGCAAAGGAATTATATAAATTTTAATTTTCAACTAAAAATCAATGAAGTATACTTTTTAGGTAATCTATCAAGTTAACAATAATTCATATTCTTCTTTTTTATATCATCATTTGTACATCGCTAAAATGACGAACAAATTGTTGTAGGCGCCAATTTGATACCCAATTTTACGAGAAAAAATGATTATATTTGTAGGCGATGTTTATTCCACTTCAATATCTGGTCAATCAAAACATCACGAAATGCCATGCAGGACAAATAAATGAAGTGTCATGCAAATGTGCAGTAATGGATAAAATTCTTCTAGCAATAATTACTAACATCGAAAACATTAACCTGAAAAATTCTTTTTTGCGATTAGCCATTAAATGATTTAAAATCAACAGAATTGTTTACTTAGACCGTGCTAACACAAGTAAATGCATCGCGCAGTCTTGCTTAGAACAAAAGGCAAACTGTCAAATACTGCAGATTTATTTTGTAATATTTACATGGTAAATTGACATTAAAACGCACCTGACTAACATTTGTGACATGATAAAAGTCTGAAAATGCATGATAAAATCCTTTTTCATTGCCAGAGAGAGGGAGAAAAGAAGCAAATTAATCATAAAATCCAATTGTATTTACGGAATTAAAGCAATATAAGTCGTATTTTTTTTTATTTTATTGGGTTGTGAAATTGTATAATTATGATTATTTTGCAAGTAGCTTAAACCTTTCTAATCAATAATACTAAAAGTTGAATTTTATTAGAAGAGAGAATCTTAGTATGGATTTTGAAGTATTAGATTAGAAATCAATTTTTGCAAAGGATGACAGTCATATAAATTTGCTTCTATCAGCTTCTAAAAAATTTAGAAGTTTGTTAATCTTGATTCTTTTCTTTCAGTGATATATTAAATTATAATTTGACAACAAATATTTCCGACATGAAAATTATTGCTTTAATTTCATTCGGTTTAACACAATCAAAATCATTTGCTACAAGGTTATTCTTTTAAGAATAAGTCAAGTTGATACATGTCAACTGTATTTCATGAATGTGTTAATAAGTAATGAAATACTGTTGACATGTATCAAGTTCAAGAACTTGAACTTGATGCATGTCAATTATATTTCATTACTTATTAACACATACATGCCGATAATCTGTATTTTTCTTTACATCTAAGCCAACAAAGATGCAAGCTGAACAACCAAGAGTATTTCTTCTATAAACATTATCAGAACATTTTGAGCCTCTTGTGATTATTTCTCTGATGATTTGCATGTAGCTTTTTCAATCTATAAATCCAAAAAGATGGTTTTATATTGAAATAAAAAGAATTGAGGACACCTTTTACATTGCTTCTGATTATCAGAGGGGGAAAAACGTAGCTCTCTCAGATACAATTTGTCGATGCAAAGATTGACAACCAATGTACTCTAGTTCTTGCAGTTAATGATCTTCATTGGTGATAATTCAACATTTGCTTATGACCAATCTTATGTAAAATTGTTCGCTCTATCTGTAATAAATTGCTTTTTGGAAATAACACATGAAAAAAATATTGCCCTATAAATAGTAATACAGTGTGAATGAGGCCATGAATGATAAAACACTGTAGTTCTATTTCGAAATGAATGTCCATTTAAAATTGTTTTAAGCAATGTAACCTTTTATAGAACTAAATATCTATAACAGGTAAGAAATAGAAAAAAGCCCGGAATATGATTAATCCGCGGACAACCAACATCGGAATTACAACGATACGTTGCCCTTGTCATTTAAGTCATGCAAATTTCATTGCTTCCTTAAAGTTTTCGTTCCTTTTTTGCCCTTCTTTATTGATGCAATTATGATATTACGAAATATGTCTTTGGGAAAGTGATCCTCCGACAATTCACGACAGGTCTGTCACGCAATGTGGAGGCTGATTGCATGCAGTAAATTTCTTGATCCTTTAAATGTTTTTGCAATAAGACAGATTGTTATCCATGTTGACAATGCATCAAGAACCTTTCAGCTTATCCGCCAACATCGTATATGATTGTTATTTTTTTGTTTCTTTGTTTTATTTTTCTTATTTGTTTGTGGCTCCAAAAAAAAATATAACAATAACCCTAAGTTCAGAACTGCTGCTTGCTTTTTTTTAAATGAATTTTGAAATACAGTTTGTTTTTTTTTTCAAATTTATGTACTGTTTCTCTTCTCTTGACAACAGAGATTAAAAAAAAAAGCACAAATTTTACGTAACCTTTACTACATGTATGTAAAGCTATTTGCGAAGGTGAAAGTAATACTGTTTACGTAGGTAAAACCATGAGATCAGTAGTTTCTGTGAAAAGTTGAGGACAATTCATTCTAATTAGTCTATAGAAGACAAGCTAGTTAGTGTAGCAAAACAAGGTCACTGATTTCTGCAGGAATGCAATACATCATTAGTTTTTATTGTTATTTATATTATTTAAAGCAACGTAACCAACATAGCAAAAGTCAATCTCCACAGGAGAAAACGATATCTAATTGTTACTGAAGGTCAAATCTTGTCGCTATTAGTACAGAGCTTAACAAATTGAATATATATCTCTTCAACTGGAATCGAGGCCAATTCAAAATTAAACTTAAATTGGTTTAATTTAAATCGATATTTTCAAAGACACAGGTAAAACTTGGCTATCTTACAAAGATATACAACACATACAAATGTTAGTTTGAACAGTTTTGGCGTCTTTTTAAACTGGAACCTCCTTAAACTTCTTAAAAATAACATGTTTTAAAGTTGAACTCAGAAGCACATTAAAGCAGAGTATATCGCTCTACACTATCGTTCTTTACTATATAAAATAAAAGTTAACTCTTTGAAGAAAAAGAGAGAGAGAGAGAGAGAGAAGACATAATTTTAAAACATAGATATAGCCTGTTGGATGTATTATGTCTTGAGATAAGCTGTGAGAACAACATAGCTAACACACAATTCATAGAATTGAGAGAGAGTGTGTGTGTGTGTTATAGCAACAGTAAGGTATATGGGAAAATTGTGGAAGAAAGATGGGGGAGCTTAAGTACTAAATTTAATTTACAAGTTCATTTTTTCATGTAAAATTTATAAAGTTCCCATTTGAATCGAAAGTTTTTTCGGCATCTGATAATTTCTTCTGTATCAATAATTACCCATCAGGTTCCCATCAGGTTTTCGTTGACCGTTATGAATTGAGGAGAGGAATCATGAGGAAGTTAAGTGAGATGTCTCCAATGCGTCGTATCACAATTAATTTGGGGAGAAAATACATTGTGATGAAATGATTCCTCTCATATATACACAGTCTCCCCCTGAGTAATTGATAATTTACCAAGCTGTATACTTTATTCCGTGGGAAAGAAGCATGAAATCTTGAGAATATTATCTTGGGATAACAGATTTTAGATTGAATGTATGATCTGAAGAATTATGGGCAAACTTTGTTATTGTGAATTCACACATTTACATACTAAAGTTTTAATGAAAGACGTGGTCTCTAAAGATTCCAGGATCTTGAAGTTAATGTTCACTTTTCAAAGAAAAATTATATTTATATAAACAGTCGATTTTTAGAAAAATCGGCATGAATGACTTCAAGTATAAAAAAAATTATGCGTGCTTTTTTAATCGCATTATCCACTAATAGCAGTAGGAATTGTTTTGCAAATACGAAGTACATATAAATTTACTCACTATCTGGTATTTCCTTGCATTTTTTTTAAACGGTAAATTTTCTAAATCAGAGTTTCAATTTAGTTTTTATGTATAAATCTGGAAAATTGTTTCGTGAATAGAGTAAGCCCTATTCAAATGATACTTTGTTTTGTATTTTCCTTGTTATGCCGTCTATAACAGCTTATGATTAACCACAAAACTGAATATTTATTTCCAAAGAATGTAAAAGTGTGAACTTGACAAGTCTCAATATTTCTGCACATTATAATGCTACCGCTACTCAAAATCATTTTTTGATGAAAATACAAAGATTACTTTAACTATTATTTTCTTTAAACTTAAGTGATATAATTTGCAAAAAGAAAGCGTTATTAATGACATGCTGATTACACCGCATATTTCATTTCGTTTGGTGTTAATGAAATCTAAGACACCGTGACACGAGGGAACTTTCTACATATTCCAAAAATACTTTTACTAGTGAAATGTGAAGATAACAAACAGTGTCCATTTAAAGAATACAAATTACAAGCAGAGCCAACATAGACTTCTGGAGACAAAGATGGGATCAAGTGCCTCCCCCACCCCCACCCACCCCCCACCCACCCCCAGCCGATCGGTCGCATCCGCCGTTTGCTCCTTCTCATGATCGGGTTGTATGAAAAACGTCAGTCAAAATTCGACCCAATGTCAGATTGTATTTGCAAACAAGGTCATTGTATCAACCATAGAATTTGCAAAATGTTTACTTTTTATGAGATTGTTGGAATCCTTGTATCATCCCTAACAAAAATTTACTTTAGTTAACTAAAGCTTACTATAGTGAATACTTGATACTTTGATTTACTATGAACTTTACTCTAGAACTTTTTTGAGGTTTGAGGCCTGAAAATATCTAAAATTCAATGTCATATTGAACT